CTGTGCATTAATTAATGCAGGCAGGTACCCAGCCCCAGGGAGAAGCTGCATCCTAAGCCCCTCGGTGGGGATTTCTCCCTCCCAACATGTTAACAGTCCCGGGGACTTGGCTGATAGCTCCCTGTACAGCTGAGACCTGGCAAACTCACTCAATAGTCCCCCCAAATCAGCCTCCCCTATGCTTTGGCTGGCAGAAATGAGTTTCCTCTTCCCTGCACAGAGATTGGGAGCGATTAAATATTTAAATGCAGAAGGATTTATTATATTGATCTTTTCTAGGAAGGCTCTGGGGGCTAGTGAGGTTTAATTATCAGTTGGTGCTTTATTGTCAGCGGTGGGCTGTCTGCACGCCCAGCGCCCACGTTTGGTGGCCTTGACCCTTCCTCCTCCCACACTTCACTCTCCTCTACAAACAGCCGAGGACGCGGGACCCTGCGGGGATGGTCCTGTATGTCACCATCATTCGCAAAGGGAGCTTCATCCCTCGCTGCGATGGATTGAGCTACGTGGCCTTGGAGGTGAGAGGTGGCCCTGGGGACCGGAGGTGGTGGTGGGGTTTGCAGGGTCTGGGATGGACCAGAGCATCTCGACTTGGAGAGGATGCTGCTGCACGTTGTCTCCTGCTCCAGTGGTTGCTGATGCTGATTTAGGGCAGCTTGTTCTCCCCCACCATTTGCTGACCAGGTGCTGCTGCGGGGGCTGTCAGCCCCCCTGGCCACCCCCCTTGGGCCCCTCGTCGCAGTGGCCAGAGTTGTGACCAACATTCGGGAGTATGAGTGAGTTATGGCCATGGGGGGCTGGTGGCGACATGGGTGGGGGGGTGCTGGGCTTGGGACAACCTGAGCATCCCTGATGCCATCACCCCCTCCTGTGGTGCTTGGCTTGCCAGGAGCGAACATGACTTTGCATGTGCTGACTCTCCCCCTTTCCATCACCTCTCAGGCACCACATGGAGAAGCATCCCATCGCCTGTCCCAGCATCAGCCCCACCACCATCACATTCCCAGACCCTCCGGCAGCAGCCTTCAGCATCACCCGAGCTGCCAGTCATGGCTGCCCGCAGGGAGGGGGCTGAGCACAGCGCAGGGATGGACGGCTCCAGCAGCATCCATCACATTTGGGTACCGATGAGCACCCCTCCTTCGGCAGGGTTGCTGAGCACCCTGTGCAGGGAAAAGCTTTAGGGGCAAAGTGATGCTTTGAACATGAAAGACACAGTCCTCAAGTCCACCTCACCCTGCCTGCAGAAACCCACAGGCAGCTCCTCGTTTGTGTTTTTGTCCTTTGTTTTTCCCCCTGCTCCGCTCACGCCTCCGGCTTGTGTGCTGCCTCTTGAAGGCAGAGACCTTCTCCTCCCTGGGCCTCAAGTAGCGCTGGGAGAGCTAGCGACGCACATCTTCAAAATAGCTGTTGCCAGGGAAACGTATGCTTTCGGCACACGGCATCATCGGTGAGAAGGAGGAGGGCCCCGCTTTTGTTCCTGAGCCCTGCCAAAAATTGGCAGGGAGGGAGAGGCAGGGGACTGGAGGGATGCTGGGGCAGGGAGGAGGTGTGATGGGGCAGCCGAGCTAGAAGCCAGTGTGAAGCTGCCGTCCCTCAAAACCAAAGTTGCTCCATCCCTTCACCTCTGAAAAGTGCCAGCCAAAAGCGTGGCGAGGGCAGATGTCCAGCCGCCTCGAAAAGATGGATCCAGCTGGTCCCAAATGCCGGCGGAGTACACGTTTCTCCATCTCAGTCCTTTTCCCCCGTGCATTGAATTTTGATTGTCTCAGAGCAAAACGCTCTGTATCAACACATTTGGGGGGACCATAAATAAAATATTACTTAGAGGAGGCCGGCCAAATGCCAAGTCGCCTACAAGGCGGTGAATTATCATAAAAATCACTAGTGCATTTCATTCATTACAACAATTGTTGTTTTATTGCCCCTTCCTCCGCCTCCCTGGGTTGTTCTTTGCAGGTGAGAGGCAGGGGGGGTGCTGGGGACCCTCTGTTTTGGGTCTGCACCTGCTTTTGCCCCCTGGGACCAGCACCCCCAGCCCCACCATGGCAATGCGTTCGGGGTGCGGGCTACCCATGCCAGCTCTGGAGCACATATTAGGAAAGAAATCCCCCTGTGCTTGCCCCCACATTTTCTTTCCCCCCAGTCTCCTTGCTCCAGGATGCAGAACCCTGAGGCTGCAGTTTCCCAGCCAGAGCAGGGATATTTCTCTCCTCTAAAGGCAGTCCAAATTTCCTTCAGATTTATATGGATAAATACACACACAAACCCCTGTGAACACGTGAGATCTGGGCAATGGGCGAGCCCAAGCCGAACCCCACAGCCCTGGCACAGGAGACAGTGCCAGCACGGAGCCGTGGGAGCCCAACACGGGAGGACAAGTGATTAAACCCAGCCATCTGGCCTGAGTGCATGCTGCTGCCTCCTCCTCCTCCTCTCTGTGCCCACATGGCTCTGTCTGTCTTTGCACATTGCCGAGGATGCTCTGCCCGGGGATGCACGGACAGGGTGCCCTGGAGAGCTGTGTAACGCCCATCCGCTCTCTCGCCCCGTCTCCTGCCTCAGTTTCCCCACCTATAGGATGTGGTTCCTTCCCCAGGAGGATGAACTCTTAATGCCTGGGAGGAAAGGTTAGGGGAAGGCTGGGAGGAGGAGGAGGAGGGAGCATTGCTGCTCCAGTTCCAGAGGTTAATGGCTTTCCCCGAGCAAACTCCTGGGCAGGCTAATCGGATTCGACAATTCTGCCAGCCCAGCGTGTCCTCTCGCCTGTCGGTTCCCATCAGTGTCTGCAGACAACAGCGCTTGGGTTCGCCTTCAGCAGGGAACCCCTCTTACTCAGGCAGGTTTTGGGTTCCTGGGTGGTTAACCCTTCCCTGCCTGACTGGGACTCCTGGAGAGCTGGTCTTCCTGGCCAGGAGTTAGCTGAGACCTGCACAGAGCTGCCTGCAAGACTGTTGGGTGGTCTCCTTGGGTGCTCTCCTTGGGCTAACAGCCCCTTTCTCACCAAAAGGGATGGGTTTGGACACATTGGTGGTGATGGCAAATCCATGGGGTGGATGGCACTGGGCTGTGGCTCCTACAGAAAGCCACGCCATTCTGCCCTGCTGGCACCAAGCTCAAGCTTTTGTGGTGTTGGTCCCCTCTAAGATAAATCTCCTTTCAGGCTCTTTCCCTTGGGGACCCTCTAGTTTAACCCACTTATCTGGAGCTTCTCGCTCTCTTCTGGGGTCTGCACCCTCCAGACAGGCAGCTATGAGGAGCAGAGGATGGCCTCATCCCTTGGGAAGGCAGGAGAGATGCTGTGGGCTTGGCCACCTCTGCCTCTGCTTGTGCCAATGATGCTGCCTTTGAACCAGCCTTTGTACGGGAGATGAGCTCGGGTAGCCAAGGAGGATGAAGGCGTCTGCTTCCTCCTCCTCCTCCCTGTCCCCTTTGTTGTGTTTCTCCAGGTGGCCCTGGGCAGAGGCAGTTGTTGTGCCAAGACGTCTGCCCAGATCAGTGCATTGGCTCTGACGCCCCGGCGCAGAGCGTCCATCTGTCCCACTAAGCTGGTGGGAGACAGCCTGGCCCTGGCAAGCGCTCCTACCCCCGCCCCAGCCCCAAAATCAGGGGGGGAATTCAGGAACGTCATCTCCCATCCCTGACCTGGTGAGAAGAGCCATGTGGGCTCGGGACCTCCGACAACTGGTGTCAAATTAACAATATGCTGCCACGTTTGACTTTTCCCTTCCCCGCTGAGTCTAAAACAGCACCAGCTCACAGTGCCTTGTACAGGTTGATGCCAGGAAAAGTAACCGGAGGCGGTGTTCAGTATTTTTTAGGAGATTTTCCCCCCAAATTCGGCTTTGCGAGGCTGATGAAACAGCCCCGTGGGCTGGGATGCAGGCTGGGAAAGGAGAGGAGCGGCTGAAGGGTGCTGAGCCAGATCCAGCTGCTGGGAGCTGCCCCAGTCCATGTGGGTTTTTCCTAAGAACTTACAGGCACAGACTGGGCTCCCTGCAGTCAAAGCAAGCTACATCCCAGCTAAAAATCCCAGCTGATGCTGGGGAGCCCCTGAAAAATTCCCAGCTGAGAGCGCGAGCCCAGTGCTGAGCCAGCACTAACAGCGCTGCCTGATGCAGCCCATCGCAGAGGTGTTTTTGGTCTCTGAAGCATCCCAGCCCCACTCTCCCCTTGCTAACAGCCCCCAGAGCTGGGTAATGCACTGCTGTGGGTCTCTGAGGTGCGTAATGCCCATTAACATCCCCAAACGTGAGCAGAGGGAGACCCCCCTTCTCCTCCCACCCTCCTCGACAAAGCAGAAATGTGCTGATGCAGAAAAGCCGATCGGCATCTTGTCCCCACTGAGCGATGCTGGCTGAGGGGATGGAGTAACAGCATTAAAAAGGAGCCGCTGTCAATAATTTCTTGGCGCTGGGCAGCCGGTGTTAAGGCTGACCTTTGGAGAGCTGGCGGGGCTCTCTGAAGGCAAAAGGGAGCAGCTGCTGGTGGGGATGGACCGATGCCATTTCCAACGACAGATCACGGCTCTGGGGATAAACATGTTGCCCGCTGTTCGATATCTATCAGGCAACCCAGACCTCATGCTTGCAGGCTTTCAGGGTCCATATATCGTCACAAAACCCTTTCCCATGTGTGAATGCCAGGTTGTCCAACAGATACCAAAAGGCTCACCCTGGAGTCAGCACAGCTCATCCTTCAGGCTCTTCCCATTGTGTTTTTAAGCATGGGGTAGATGGTCCATGTGCTGTTTTCCTCCTCCGGCTCTGCAAGGGGGAAGATGCTGGCAGGGATTAGCCAGAGAGAAGCAACCAAGCTCAAAGACCCAGTAAAAACCAGTTCAAGCAACTGGGATTCAGGGTTGTTTTTGAGCTAGGGATGGGATGCAGCTGCACAGGCTGTGCTTTTATTTACCCCCACCTCTCCTCTCCCTCCTATTTGCTTATTTATCTCTAGAGAGAGAAGGTATCTGAATGATAATTTTCCTGTTGTCTCCTAAGATGTCCCAACCAGCCGGGCCCCCAGAGCAGCCTATGTGGGACACCTCCTTCCTCTTCCAAGGCCGAGACGTGGCCACCATCTTCTCTGAAGACACCGCCCTGGCAATTGAATATTATCCGTACAAAGCCAGTGAGTCTGGGGACCCCACCAAGAGTGCTCTCCCTTGTCCCAGGGTTTGGCTGGGAGCAGGTCATGGGCTGCTGTGCCCCCAGCCAGCTGCTCTTGCCCCTTCCCTAGTATGGGATGCTCCGGGCACCCTCATTCCCATGGGATACTCGGTGCTGCCCCTCACCAGCTGCGTTTTCCGGGAGCTGGCAGCGCAGAGCGGCGGGATGCACGTGGACGGTCTCACCATGCAGGTGAGCCGGGGACTGCGGGGTGACACTGGGCAGGGAGGCACAGTGATGGTACCTATAGGTGATGGTACCTATAGCTGCTGGCATGGTGGGAGGGATCTCCACATCTGGGTGGGCAGCCTGGCACATCCCACAGGAAGCCAGGGTCCCTGCTCCGAACCACAGCCCTGAACCCCTAGATGGTATCTGAGTGATGCCAAAGCCACCAGAGCCCTGGTAGAAACCCAGAGGCCAGCGCGGGCTGTGACTCTGTCTCTGCCTCCCCAGGGCACGGACCTCAAAACCACATCTGGGGCCATCCCGACCGTGGGGCTCTGCCTGCAGCTCCTTCAATCGGAGGTGAGATGCTGGGGATGGCGAACCCCGAAGCAAGGAGGCATGGGGATGGGAACAGGCCAGGAGATCGCTCTTTAGAGCTGCCACCCTCTCTCCAAACCTCTCAGGTGGGGATCAGCTGGGCTGGATCCGGGTTTTATCCCTTGTGCCTGTTGTCTCAGGGCTCTGGATCGTGCTGCCGGGCAGCTGGAAAAAACAGAGTCGTTTTTGCCCTTGTGCATCTGTCCCTTTCTCAGGGCTTTTGGCACTTGTTCATATTCCTGGGAAATCCTGGCTGGAGGCAGGGGGGCAGGCAGGGAACAGGCAGGGTATTTGGGAGAGGCTATTCCCATCTCTGTGCAGAGAAGTGCCAGGCTGGTTAACCACAGTGACAAATGTCCAGCAGTCTTCATCCTTCAGCATTTGTGGTCCCCAGGGATGTCACAGCAGGGAGGGAATTTGTCTGCTTTTCCTGGGGAGGAGGGAATCCCACTTGTCCTTGGCTCCAGGACCAGCCCTTGGGCAGGTTAGGACGTGATCGATCTAATTACTGCAGCCGCCAAACTCTGCTCCCATCTGCAAAAAAAAAAAATCCTATCCATAAAGTGAATTTGGGACAGGTCTGGATGCTGCACTGGTGACTGCGTTTCCACCCATCCCTGGGGGAGCTGCAGCAGGCCGGGGCCGGCTGGTGGGGGTCTTTGGAGTGATTGCCCAGGGGGGTCAGCGAAAAGGGGTCTGTGTGTGATGAATTATTCACACGGGTGTCACTAAGTGCAGAATTAATCCTTTTGCTTCCAGCTGGCTGCTGCACTAAATTATCACTCGCAGTCATGCGGGAAAATGCTGCGGAATTCATTTAGCTGATTATTGTTTTGATCTGGGAGCTGTAATTTTTTTTTTCTCCACTTCCCCAGCCTCTCCCTTTCCCTCCCTCCAGCCCTGCCTTCCTTAATATATGTAAGAGCTGGGAGTGGAAACAAAAAAACAGGAGAGCCAGAGCCGGCCTTGGGCTCCGTGTCTGGTTAATTCATCCAGCGGCAGCCCGGGCAGACGGACCTGGAGCAATGCAAATCAATGAGCGAGCTGCTGCCAAGCAGGGTGAGGGCAGGTTCGGCTCCTCCTGGCTTTGCCGAGGCCCTTGTTTCTTGCCTGGAGGTCAGGATTTTCTGAGGAAGATGCCCCAGCCAGCTGGCTGTGATCCCCAGCACCCCAAAACCACAGCCCGGTGGGCAGAGGAGATGCTGCTGTGGTTGCAGAGGCAGAGCCTCTCCTCTCCCACTTTGGGCAGCCCCAGGCTTCAAGAGATGCTTGAAGGCTGGATTTCCAAGTCCTCAGCTCATGGATTAGTCCTGAGCTCGGCTTTGGGACAGTAAGAAGTGGCCAAACAGGGGCCAAGAGGCAAAGACAGTCAATACAGGACCTGTACTGACCCAGAGAGGCATTGGGGCAACCTCCGTACCAGGGCTGTTCTTGGGGTGCGAGCAGCCCCAGCATCCCTGCCCATCCTGCCCCATGCTCTCTCACCCCACAGCTCTCCCCACCCAGGTGGCAAAGGAGAACAGACTCACCGAGCTCGTCTTGTTTCTTTTCTTATTTTTTTTTATTTTAATGTAGAGAGCTGAAAATGCATAACCTAGATTGGCTGGGCTTTTTATAACAAACAGCAGCTAAATAAACCCTGGGCCATCTGTACTCCCCGGCGCACTCAGAGCCGGGTGTAAATCCCGGCTGCTCCGTGGCCTCTGTGGGGATTTCACCAACTCCTACCACGGGTCTGGATGCTCCCGAGCTTGGCTTTGGATGATCACGTCGACCCTTCATGCTGGGAAAATATCCTCAGGGCCAGGGTTTTCTGGGGATAGGGGGCTCCCCATAAACAGGACTCATCCCCCCAGTATTTCTGCAGGGTCTCAAAACCCTGCTACATTTCTAATAGCCACAGGGAAAGGGTTTGGAGCAGCTGCTTTATTAAAAGCCAAGAGCCCAACACCAGGGATGAGCAAACAGGAGGCATGTTATCCCAGGGAAAGGGTAGTGCTGGGTTGCAGATCTCCCTCCCCCTGCAAAGGCACCGAGACCCTCAGGTTTGCCCCCACCCAGCCCGTTTCCCCACTGCCTTCATCCTCCTGCCCTCTCTCTTTGGAGCCCAAACGAGAACAAAAGACTTTGATCATCTCAGGGAGACAAAGAAATCAAAGACTTCAGCAAAACGCTGGCATTTTAGCAAATTAACAGCTGACACTGAAAAACTGGTGCAGGGGGAAAACCCGCAGCCGACTTCATCCACCTCCGTACTGGCTTGTGGCTCAAGGCACGGCTCCTGGCTTCCCTTCGTTCTTCTTTTTCCACCCCAAATTTGGTGTCTTGCCCAGGAAAGATGAGTTTGACCATGCAGCCGCCAGTGCCAAATCCATGTGCAGGGTCAGCAGGATGCAGTTCCTGATGTGCCCGGGGGATGCTGAGCCCCATCCGAGGGCTGGAAAATACACACTGGAGGAACCTTTATTCCTAAGGGATTTATACATCACCTCTGTTTATTAACCAGCCCTGTTTTACTCTTTGTTTTGGCACGACCCCACCTTGCTTAGCGCATTAGCTCAGCACTTGGGACCTTTGGGATCACCTCCAGCCTCCACCACCCGTTTTGCTGAGTGCCCTTGGTCATGTCACCCGAGATGTGGTCTGGGGATGCGCCGGCATGTGGTGACAGCCTCTGAAAAAAAGGGAAAAGCTAGTGCTGTTTTTTTCCAGGCAAGGAAAAAAAATCATCAGGCTGGCTATATCATTGCTTAAACAGCCTTAATTTATGTAATTGCTGCCATTTAAAACCAGAAGCAGATCGGCGGCTGGCGTAAATTGTCACAGAGCCGGGGTGTAGATTGTCACCATGCCAGCCTGGCGATCAAAGCCCTTTTGGGCTGGCAAAAAAATGGGTTTATGATTGGTTGGGAAGGGGGGAATCACCATGCGTTTCCCATTATTTCAGCCTGTCTGGCCAGGTTTGTCCTCCACGAGCACCAAAATTTGGTTTTTATTCCCAAACCACATTGCAGGGGATACGGAAGCTGGTGAGAGGCTTGTTTTGGGGAAACATTGCCCTGCCCTGCTGAGCATCTTCTCTTGGTGAGCCAGCTGAGGGCTTTCGGCACAGCCAAACTGCTGGCAGCTGAGCTCCTGCTTGCCAACCCTTGATTGCCACCTGTCCATCAAACATATCACCCATTCCCCTTATCACATGGCGGATTACAAGAGGCTTTATGGCATCGCTGCCGGCTGGGAGCGGTGTTAGCCAGGGAGAGCCAAGCTAGTGAGGAACCAAAAAAAAAAAAAAAAAGCAGGGAATGTCTTTGTTAAGGAGAATTTGTTGGTTTCCGCCCGCTGATCCCGGGGGAGCGTTCAGGTCAGCACTAATTGAATTAAGAGCACGTGTGCTCCGGCAAGCAGCTCTCCGATGGGCAATGGTGACGGGGCCGGGCTGGCCATCACTCCAGCGCGGCAGGCAGCAGCTGCACGCCGGCCCCGGTAATTGCAGACAGAGCCTAAACTGTTGCATTTTGCATGATGCCGTTCCCCGCGGAGGGGGAGAGTGGTGGGGCGGGGGGCATCTTCACCCCAGCTTTGATGCTGGAGGAGCTTGGTTGAGGTCGGGGTCGGTGGCGTAATGAAATGCGGCGGCACAGGGGACGCTGATGCTGATGGTGTTAATGAGACAGCGATGGGGAAGGGCACGGGGACGCCTCCGGACACCGCCTCGTCCTCACTGCTGCAGAGGGGGGATGCTCACTGCCCTTGTTAGCTGCACTAACAAGGTGAGGCCGGGTGCAGGCACGGAGTAATACCCAGTGAGGGCCATTTCGCCGCTGCTCATGCCCGCAGCCAATTTGGAGAGGACGCCCAGCCTGATTGCTCGGTTGGCGAAGCAAAGAGAGCATCTGCGAGGCGGGGAGGTGGGGGGTAGCCGAGGATTCGCTGGGTCATGGTCGCCGGCTCCCGGGCAGTGAAATAGGTGGGTGCCGGGGTGCCATGCCTCGATGCAAGGATCCCAGTGGCAAGGCCGGTCCCCATCACCCAAACCTGCCCCAATACTGGGAGTCAGGATGGCCAGGACAGGGTGAGGGTCCCTGTCCATGACCTTGCCATCACAGGCAGCAGCGAGGAGTGCAGGGACTCCATCGTTTATTTCATTAGATCTGACTTCCCCCTGTAACCAGATTAGAGGGGAGTCTATAAAAGCCAGGCTGGCGGGAGGAGAGCAGGGCGTGCAGAGCCGGGCACGGGAAATGAGGGGCAGGGAAATCACATTACTGCTGCCAGCAGCATCTGGCAGGGGGTCTGGCAGGGGCTGCCGGTGTGCTGAAGGTGCCTTATCTAGCAGGCACCAAAGCCAGGAGCAGGGCCAGGTGGCAAAGTGGCTTTTAGCATCAATTTGTGCCCGCAGGACCTGGGTACCCACCTCCTGCCCACCCGGGGAAGGGGAGAGACAGGCTGAACTGGCTAACCCACAGCTCTTTCCTATCATGCCAGTCCTGGTGGCATATTGGGGACGTGGATGGTGGGACAGGGCACACGCAGCAGGGGCAGCTCAGTCCGGGTGCCCCCTCCTTGCCCCTGTCACCACATCCATCCATCCCACAGACCATTGCCTCTCCCTTCCCAGAGACCAGCGGCGTTCCTGACCACGTCGTGCAGCAATGCCCTCCCCAGCCTGGACCCCGCCGCCGCCGGCATGCTCAAGAGGGGCGAAGAGCTGCGGGCAGCCTCCATGCACCCATTTTATTGCCAGGTAACAACCCATGAGAGCAGCCAGCAATGCCACGCCAGCACCCTGTCCGCTGCATCACCAGGCCAGCCTCCACAAAGGCACGCACCCTGCCTCGTAACAGTGAAAAACTGCCATAAATCCCAATTTTTAATCTCTCTTTCAATGTATGCATTGCTGGCAGCGGTGGGTTTTATCCATAGCCTGGTTGTACGAATAATTTCTTGTGTTGTGCCCATGGAGGAGCTTTTCCATCGGTGCC